GTGTCGGATGGCAATCTGCAATGACTGGTATGTGTTGAGAAGCGATCGGGCCATACCATATGTTGAGGGAATGTGCGGATGGAACACAGGAAGGGTCGACATGCTTGCGACAACTGCATCCAGGTTGGAGATAATCGCACCAACCTTGGTCCACCGTGCATCAATGGCGGACACAGTCTCACCAGTATCTCGGTTGATGAGCACAGGCGTAAATCGGTCGCTGGCCATCTCCCTGATGAGATTGCTGTTCGACTCAACTCGGCGTCGGCCCTGGGCCAGCCGGTTCGTGACAGCGTCAAGCGCATAGTCACCCGGAGGATACATGGCACCCTGGAACACATTGTCATCGTTTATGTTCGGGTCCATGACCCTGGCTAGCCCATCGGCAATGGATCGAAGGTGTTCGGCATTCTCAACTCCCGTGGCGCCCTTCGCCACTTCCGCGATATGCGCCTTCATTTTAGCAGCCTGTTCACGTCGAGCCTCAGCTTCACTGACTTGGCTCTCGAAGTGCGCATAGCCTTGGCGACCCTCGGCAGTAGGTCCCGCGGCTTCCACACCACTGAACGGCTTCGGCTTCTTCATCGCAGATAGCGGGATCGCCGGCACGGCGGGTGGTCGTGCAGCGTCCCGATTGGCGGCGACTGTTCGCTCTGCATCCCGGGGAGTAGGCAAGTTCTCGAATGCTTCAGTCATTCCTTCGAGAAGCTCATTAAACTCCTCATCGGATTCCTCTTTCTTGACCGCAGGCATCGCTGCATCGCCATCCCCTTGCTGTCCGTCGCCATCGGAGCTATCGCTAGACTCTTCATCGTTCGCAGCAGCCGGAGCAAGGCCGGGCGATACCGGCATTGCCTGGCCATGCACGGGAGTAGCGGGCAGCTCAATCGGATCCGGATGACGAATACCCGGCAGATCAGCCAAAGACGTCTGTTCCTGTTTAATCGGATTCTCAGGAGCAGCCGGACCTGCATCGTCAGCCATCTCCTCTTCATCTTCGTCATCGAAGCCAAGCTGACTCATGTCAACGGTCTTTGCGGCTCGATGATCAGCGCCGCGATCTGCCCCTTCGATAAGGTCCTGCACTGTGGAGTGCACAATGGCCTTCACCGTGCCAGTCGACCTTTCTTCCGGAACTGGAGTGCGCGCCCACATCTTATCGTGGGCAATCTGATACTCCCGTCGTGTAGCGTAAGACGGAAATCGTGCGAGAGCCGCCAGTGTAAACATCGAGCAGATACGGGTACATAGGACCCCGATCGTTTTGGACTCATGCATGATGTGATATCCTTTCAGGTACGGTAGTCCTTCCAGGATAGCGTCAAACGACAGGGAAAGGAAGTTGGACCTCCTGATTTCGTCCCAGATCGACCTCATCTCCTCTCTGTATTTCTCGAAGAGAGGGCCAGGAAGAGTCGGAAGGAAACCCATGCTCGGTGACACTGGCCCGCAAAGGGACACCGATCCGTAGATCGTGTTATACTTCTCAAGGGCGTCCCGGGCGGTCACTTTGGCGTATTGTGATCGTGCCATATCGATGTCACCAGTCAGCTTATTCCAGCCTTGGTCCATCTTCCACAACTCGTCTCCTTTCCAGAGGATGAGGATGCGAACGTTCGATGGCGGGACAGATGGGTCACTCTGCATCAGCTCGAGAGTGTCTACCATCTCCTTGAGCTTTTCGCCCTCATCAAACGCCTGTACCCGAACTTCGGACTCAGGGAATCCAAAGCTTGCCAGCGCGTTCTTCAGATGGGTGTTCATCTCACCAGCGTGCCAGGATTTGGCAGATCTGAAGGTTAGCAGGCCATCGTGCATGACAACGAATCTCTGCGGCTTGCTGGGTACTGCCGGCTTGATCGTTGGCGGAGCACCTCCAAATGCAATCGTGGATGCCATGGTCGTGACCGTTCTGATCCCGTGAATCGAGACAGCCACAAGGGCATCGGCTGGGCTCCAAATAAGCGCGCCAATGATATCCGTCGTATTTTCTTCATCGTATACGATACCCTTGATATTCTTGGCGGACGTGTAGCCGAAGTTGCCGAGCAGAGCACCGTATGCTTTTCGGTAGTGCCTGCACCATGCCTCCCACTCTTTGGAGGGTCCTCCGGCTATTGTCTCGAGCTTTGTAGGCTTGGGCAAGCCTTGGCTGCCTTCCTCACCCAGCATGGGTGCACGCGACTGAAAGAAAGGAGCCAGCTCGATTCGGTAGCTAGAGGACTGGAGCTCGGATAGCAATGCATACCTTCCACCGACAGTGGCTTGCTCACTCGTCCCGTACGAGTCGGGCATCCAGTGATTGCGTCGAAGCACTACCGGGTTGACGGTGATTCGCTCCGTTGCCTCACCACCACTCGCCGCAGCATGATCATCGGCCGCGGTCGCCACAGGCTGCTCCGTCTCGGTAGATGCAGCCTGTTGGGTAGTGTTGCCCCCCTGAATCGTTAGGTCGGCAAACTCAACATTGTCGCGCGCGACACTGTCTCCCAGCAGCTTCAGAATGCGAGGATCGATCGGGCTCGCCTCCATCCACGGGTGCCAGGCCACGGCTTTCGTCCCATCGGCACTGAGGAATCGGTGTCCGTGGATGACGTAGTTTGGGGAAGTAGAAACCCCTTGCTCGCGGTCATCCAAGAGGCGGAAGGGCCTGAACGCGATTCCGCACAGCTCGAGAAATCGAGTTCCTACGCGGATCTGTTTCTGGGATCCCCCCAGCTTCTTTGTCGTGCGACTGTGGCTGTTCACCCAGATCATCACCTGGAACCAGTAGCCTCCGCCGAGGTACGTGCCAGATGCATAGCTACCGGCAGCCTCGGGGGCGTGTCCAGTCACCCAGACGCAGGGTTCGTGACTTCCATGATCATCCGTCACATAATCCTCTCCGAACAAGCCTCCGTGAGCAAGAATCGACCAGAGGTATCGGAGATTCGTTCCGTGGAGGTACGTCTCCTGAGGATCGTATATGTCCGAATTCATCGCTGGGACATACACCCACCCGTCAGTCGGGCGGATGGTGATCTGTGACGCACCGTCCTCGTAGGTCATTTGGGCGCTGGCTCCCCAATTGAGCGTATCATCGATGCTGACGCATCGCCCGGGGTAGGCCTCAGCCATCGTGTTCATGAACGAGGCCCACCCGCGCATCAGCGGGTTATTCTCATCGTCGTCTTCGTTGCGAAAGGCGGCCACTTCACCAATCCCGTTCGCATCCACGGCAGGTAGATCGTAGCCGTGTTCCTTGCGATCATTCTCGAGGTGACTCGCTTGCTCTTTCAGAGAATTCAGCGTGGGAAATCGGTTAAGGGCCTTGATTGCCAGAAACGCCCCAGGGATGAAAGAAAGTGTCGGCCTGAGCTGCAGAAATCCCTTGAAGAACCTCGCGGCTTCAGCCGGGTTGACCACATCCCTTGACAACTCAATGGGCGACAGCTTGGTGAGGTCGTTGTGCTTGATACTCGTATCGGTCCTCAACCATCGCTGTTCCGCAGACGAACTGCTGTATCCCATGAGATTTCGATTCCAACTCGCAAGAGGCGACGGAATGTAACAGGTTCCCATGAGACGGAGCGTATCGTTGCTCAGTGTCTCTCGAGACCCCTTAAAGGTTTGCGCTTGGAAGTGCATACAGTGGCGAGCCAATGCCATCGTAAGGTCCATTTTCTCGCGGACCCCTGCGGCGTCACCGGACAACGTTGCCACTCGGGAAAATGCAAGAGCGCACATCACCCTGTATCGATCGACGAAGTCCATAAACTCTCGGGGATACTGCTTCCTCTGCTTATCCGCAAGCGGATGATTAGAGAGGAGGAAGGAGTCAACTAGCTGATGCAGCTTTAGGTCGAAACCAGAGTTGCATGCCAGCTGTTCGAGGCGCTGCCAGATTGAGGCCTGTGGGATCTCTTGGACCCCGATCTTCAGCATCATTGCTTTCATCCTCAATCCTATCGGAACGTCCTCGGAGCGCTTCCCACCCCCAGTAGACTCATCTCTCGGGGTCTGAATCGGGACTGGGGCTTCATCGGCGCCCATGTTGGCGTCATCCTGCTCCGTAGGGATCGGCGGAGCAGGAGGCCTTTCCGTAGTTGGCGCAATCGGGCCGCTCGGAAGGCCTTCCCCGCATGGCGAGGGAGATTTCGGCTGAGGTGATCGGGCAGCCGGTGTCTTGGCGGCAGCCTTCTTCGGTGGCTGCTTGTTCTTTCCCCCCATCGTTCAGCAGCGGCGGCAGCGCGGAGAAGTTCGCAGCCCGTGGCAGCTACAACCTGTCCTAGCAGGGAGCGCAAGTGGGCTATGGACTGAGTCGTAGTAGAGGTGGTCTGCGATGGTCGGTTGATGAAGGTGATCCATGATCGTTGCCCTTAGAGCTCCTTACCAAGCTATAGTCAAGTGTGAGTGTGTAAGTATGTGCATGGCCTTGGCGTCTTTGTTTAAGCAATCGGCAACGCGGATTGCTGTGAGCCAAAAACCGCAGAATTGATGAAATGTTCTAGCACAGCCCACAATGCAAATCGAAGCTCTTTCGGGTCGACCCTTTTGGCCTTCTTGTGATTGCATGCAAATCGTGACATGAAGATGGGCCCAAACCGGGCGGGCATGAAAATCTCGCACATCCACGCATGCTGAGAACATCGACCAGAGGAGCACGAACACAGCTTAACTGGGCAAAGCTCGTGCGATTCAGACCATCGTCTTATGTACTCCCTACCCCACAATGGGTTTCCCTTCGGTAGCACAAGGAATACAGGGATTCCAGATGACCGGGCAGCGGAAGCGTACCCGAGTAATTTCTTGGCTTCCCATCCTTTTTTCTTTGAGGTCGCCCCTCATTTCTTTCCAACCCCTGCTCTTGAAACCGGCTTCTCTTTTGTTAGCGGTGCCAGCAATCGGAACAGTAACAATACATACCGCAGGCGTAGGCGGAACCCTGATGTTCGAAATAGCAATCCCCTTTGCATTATCATCGAGACTGAGATTGATACTTCGAGCATGAGGGAATCGGATTATGCCTTCGCCTCCGATATGAATACATTTTATGGCTGCTCCGAATTGGTGAGCATCATCAATTGAAATACCCCCCTGACGAGACATTTCGAGGATGAAATCGTTGAAGGGACTGTGACCAGTTTCAAGATGTACCCCCCTGGTTGGACAGACAGAGGGGAGAGCAGAGAGAGCGGGGGCGGCAGACAGCATACCAGAGGAAATAAGAGTACCTTTGCGAAAATGACCAATAGACATAAGGTTGCGACCCCACACTTTGGCATCAGTGCAGGCCTTGGTCAGGATATCACCAGCCTCAAACTGAGAGGGACACGTCACAAATAGAAAGTCACCAGCGTGGTAGCGTTCATTCAACGCAGAAATATCGATACGCTGGGTACGGGACATATGACGCATATTAGGATTGTGACCAGTGATAATGACTCGGATGGCAGCTTCATTGTCCTCCATGACACGCAAACGGAAGCGACGGCCCAACATATACTCCCACATGGAGAGAGCGGGCAATCCCAGTTTATAGACGGCGTGATCAAGGGAGACAATTTCGGCTTCGGGAGTAGACTTTGACACAGAAGTCTGCTTCTTGGACAGCGCATTAAGAGGCATAAAGCTACGCGGGCCAAGAAGACACATGAAGACACCAGACGTGCTCTTGGAATCAGTGCGGTCGCCCGCAAGATCAGCATCGCAATAGAGCACAAGCTCTAACATCTCGGGCGCATCACCAATCCAACCATATAAATTGAGATCGAGGGTGGAGTTGATATAACACACCAAACGATGGAGCTTCTTGTCACACAAACCATCCCACTTGGTGATGAGACTAGCAAGTGCCTGCACAGGACGGATGAGATCGTATCGCCCCATGCGAGCACCATACAAGATTTTCATCAGGACAGCGGCAGCGCAGTCACCGAGAACGCCCTTACCAGGAGGTATAGGCGTATCGGTGGGATGGCCCAACAAACGGTTCACCTCGGGACGATCCGGATTAGTATCGAACTCCGGTCGTGACTCATCGAGAAACGGCGTGTCAGCCGACCGCAAGGTGGCTTTGTATTTCGGACCACAGAGCTCGACATAGCGAGAGACACATTGCTCCATGAACGATCGCATATCGTACTTGATCATTCGGATTTCGCGAGGACCGACAGAGCCCTGAGCGACAGTAGTGTCACGATCGCCAAAAGTGAGCTCGGGAAATGCCTTCTTGGGTTCCTCGAAACGCGTCCAATAGGAGCGCGGATCAAAAGAATTAGGAACAACATGAGAGAAAGTAACATGCTCACAACCCAAATAACGTTTGATGCTCGAGGGCGGCTCCAACTTAATCTTTGATGCCATGAGCTCCCACCCTGTGGCCAGATTGGCCTTTGGTCCACTGAGCTTAAAATCATCGACGTAGACCACAAGCATAAGGTTAAGCTTGGGATGGCGAAACACGCTCTTCCAGTCAGGGCATTGCTCGAAGCCAACAGAGCGGAGAGCCTTTTCGCAATGCTGTTCCCAGAATCCACCGGCATCCGGGTGCCCGTAAAGGGCCAATACAAGACGCACAACCGGGTCATGATACTTCCCATGCCATTCGGGCAGCCATCGATCTTTGGGCAGTCGCACCCATGTGGCGGGGCCACCAAGCTTAGCTTGAGTGTAGGCGGACTCGCCGTCAGCAACTTGTATTTCGTGACCGGGCAAGAGACCGAAAGCATCAGCGGCCTTCCCTGCCTCCATGGTCGCGGGGCATGAAGTTATCTCGGAGAAAATCGCCCAATTGTTGCCTTCATCTTTGACATGACAGCCCTCAAACACGACACGACCCTTAAATTTTCGATTTGGATCGGATTCTGGAAGCTCGGAGTTCTTTTCCACGCATATATCGAAGATACGACCAACATGGGCCGTCTCTCCTTTCGCCATGGCCTCGTTAGATACATCGCGCCATTCACGCACGGAGGCGTAATCCCAGCAGCCCTGATTGATAAGTTTGTTCCACTCCTTATCAAGGGCGGCCTTGGCCTTGGGATTAGCGGCACGTTCTTTTCGATCAACAGGCCGTGCGACACACGCGCTGTAAAAGAACACCGAAGAGTCTGGAGAGCGATGCGAATGAGGATCGGAACGAATAGACATCGCAGGTGCTGCATCGGTATCCAGACAGTCGTTGGAGGGCTCTACCGGTGCAGAAGTACCATCCCCGGTATCCTCATCTGTGAAATCAAGTTCAACTGCGGCTAGCACGGAAGTATAAAACTGAACCACTGCCACATCCTGTCCTGGTTCGACAATAAGATCGGTGTCGGTAGGATTAAGGACGTCGACCCCGGATTGGGTAGCCCCTTCGTTGTACGTACACATGGCCGGACAAATATCGAGGCCACTACCGCGAAGCGGCTGAAGGCGGGCCGACATGCCGCTTGGGGGATCGAATTCAAGGTCAGTAACAACACAGGCGCGAGATTTAGCAGGGACTACAACACGTCCCTTCGCACGTAAGGCGTGGCCATAATAGCCGTTCGCCGTTTGCACTCGGCGCTCTGTTCCGTCGTTATTCGGCAGACTGGTTCGAACCTTGATCTGTGTTTTGGCAGAAGAACCGATAACGAAAACGGTCTTTCCTGTCCATCGACATGGCAGAGATCGCACATCGGATGATCTCCATGAATCCTGCAACGTAAATTCCGTGCCATCGGTCATGGCCATAGTCATCCTGACATCTGTCAAGGTCGCAGGATCGACAGTCCTTCACTGAGGTGGGATTAAAGCGCGCTCGGCGCTCGATCACATGAAATCGGGTGACCGTGCCAGCTGCGACATCGTGATACCAATAATCCTTATCATGCCGTTCAGCACCCGACTCATATTCGGAATCGAAAGCGATGTCGATAGGAGCGGCATCGCGAGAATCCTCTCGGGACATGGCGTGAGACTCAGCTTCTCGGCGCTCAGCCTCGACATATCCCTCCCGTTCGGCGCGATTCATGCTGCGCCAGGATTCGGAGTCGATAGAGTTCGGTTTTCGAGACCCTCTGTAGACACGCTCGGAGCGTGGCACACTCTGACGGTAAGGCAAACCCCCCTCCAGGATCTCTGACCCATGGTAAGGAGGTAACTTCTTCTTGGATGGGGCAAAGCCATCATCATAGAATTCGACAGTGCGTGTCCAGAGTTGCATCAGTCTCGTTTTGCCGAAGGCATAGCCGGTTTCATAGATCGTAACCGGACTTTTATCCTTATACTGAACATGCGAAATACGCACTGTGCTCAGCTTCCACGGATCAGGCGACTCGCCAAGAGATCCGGGAGTCTTACTGGGATGAATCATCGCCTTTCTCGGGACGACTACGTGATAAGTCCACTTATGACTCGATGGATCATATTCCCAGTAGTCGACACCTCCTCCATGAGAAGATTCGGCTCGTAACTCGGCCTCACGAGCCCGCCGAACATCTTCTTCGGTCATTCGGGTCGGCTCGTCGAGGGCAAATATTTCATCGATATCTTCGAGTTCGAGCATATCAGAGGCGTCAAGGCGCTCACTAGATTGAGGCGCACAAGACTGCATCGCAGGATCGTTGATGCACATTGATCGAGTCTGCTTGTCGTACACAGCGAGCATCGGGAACGTCCATCGCTCCTTGGGTGAGCAATATATCTTCTTGACCTAGTGGACGCTCGCGCGCAACGCATCGCGTTTGAAATCTTCCAAATCGGCGACAATGTAGTCACCGTCCCACTTGCCCCCGTTCTCAAAATGATAACCCAGAAAAATACCAGGCTTACTCGTAGGGGAGAACTTACTGGGGCGTTGGTAAGACGACAAGCGTTGATCAACTTCGGCGCCCTGAAGAGTGCTAGATTGATCATTGTCTCCGTCATCAATCCACTCTAAATAACCATCGTCATCGAAACCAATTTCGACATCAATCAGTCCGTCGGCCCCAGGCGCAGGTACGGCGTACTCCTCACCATCGCCGAGGACGACTTCATCTCTCTGACTCCGCCGGGTCTGTTTTCGTGCCGGCGTAGGATAGAAGTCAACAAGGCAACCAAACGGCAGAATCTGACCGTCAAACTCAACACCATTAAATCGCATCGCATAGGCACTCTGACCCTCACGCAACTCGATGTTGCGAGCATGGCAGAAGTGCTTGCATGCATAAGGCCAGAACTTGGCGCTCAATCCCGCTTGTCGTAGCGCCACACGTGCGCCATGAAGGACACGCTTCACCTTGCTCTCGGCAATGGCATTAGTTCGAGGCATTCCCGGCGTGGAGTGCTTCACAGAGATGCCGACTTTCTTGCAGGTCGATATGAACTCACGGGCTTTATCACAGTAGATTTCCCGAATCGCAGAAGGTGCATACCTCCTCTCCACATCCATGGAGCACGAGTTCACATCTCGAAGATCGCCAAAGACCTGCTGAAATGCTCGGAGCGTATCGGCATTCGTTCTTCCCTTAACGGGAACGCTCTCCAGCCACTCGGTTGCTAGATCGTAAAAGACGACAGCATCCGTCTCCCCATTATTCCCGCGATTGCCGAGCCCATGCAACACCATTGTATCGATGGTAACGTGTTCGCCAAACTTCTCAAACCCTTTATCGCGCGGTGAGTCTTGACGAAAGGATTTAACATTTTCCATCTTTGCACGTTGGCAGGCATCGCAATAGGGGTTCTTTGGGAGATGGGTCATGAGATGACGGATTGACTTTGCCTCATCTCTCAGATCGCGCGCTCTAGGTTCATCAGGCGGCGACTGAGGCTTACCCTTGTCGGGCACCTTCCTGTTATCGTCAGGTGCACTCTTCTGAACGCTCTTGGCGTTAGGCATATCGAGATCAAGTTCTCCGACAGCGTCTAATTCGCTGCCAGGCTCCTCACCAGCTGCAACGACCTTCTCGTGGACGATAATCGGTGCTGGGAGGGCCGGATACACGCGAGGGAGATCAGGTCGGCCGGCCACTACCTCTGTCTCACTTGGAGCAAGGTAGGGAATATTATTGATCACGTCGACCTTGAGGCGTTTCCCTTTCGGATCAAAGAATATCGGATCGCAAAAGGGCTCCCAAATGAATCGATAACCAAGCTCCTTACATCGTTTCCCAAGGGAAAGGAGACTTGGCGTGCTTTCCAACACATAAGCTTCAATCAGTTCATCGAGACCATCGATGCGCATATGCGCGACACCCTTGGTGTTGGTCTTCCCGTTGGCTGTCCGAAGACTGATCTTTGCATTCTGGACGATCAGATCCCTTTCCTCACGGGATAAATCACCGAGACCAATAAGGTCTATACCGCAACCGGAGTCAAGCATGAGCCTCCGTACCCTCTTAATAGACTTGACAGCAGCAGCAAAGACTTCGCAAGCGCTCCGCTGAGAAAGCGTGAGCTCAAGAACACAAGCATCATTTCCTAACGTTTTGGCATCAATGTCATCGAGCAAAACCTGCTCTCGCCACAGCACAGCCTTCATATGGGCTCTTCGCCTCTCGCGAGCACTATTCAGACCACGGATATTTTCCGGCCACGAATAGCTCAAATTCCTCTCGCGATTGACGGGGCCGAAGGCCGGCTCCGGGAAAGAAGACTCTATCACGCGGGTCTCAGTGTTCCCAAACGACACTGTCTTCCGCTTGACTGACGGACATGCCATATCGAATGATGCTGCACAAGCGAACGCAAAGTCTCCAAAGGAGGATGCTGTCATTGCCTGAGGGTTGCGGCACGCCCCTCTCAAAAATCCGAGGGCGTTGGCGCCGGGCTGTCAACCCGCCTTGATGTCGGCGCGGGCTCAGCAGGCGCAGGAGCGGCAACAGAAGTGCTCTCAGCAGGAGCACCAGGCTTCACATGCTTATACGGACACTTATCACCTCTTGTGCAAGATCCACGGGCATAGTAGAAGCATATGCCAGACTCCTTTGATATCGGTGACTGGGATCGAGGCGGGAATCCTTTCGGCGAGGAGCTTCTGCCCTTGAGGTTGTGAGAGAACTTACAACCGCTTCCTCGCGTACATCTGCCGTTCTTGAAATCGTAGCAGATTTCCCGCCCTCGTGGAGATCGTGATGCAGGGCGCGTCGGAGCAGGAGCGGCCCTTCCCGGACTGCGCGGCGAGTATCGCCTCGGCGAACCGCGCCTCGGGGAGGATCGTCTGGGCGACGAGCGCCTCGGCGAGCTCCTTCGGTAGGGACTCCCTCTTCTTGAGTCTCGGTGTCCAGGAGACCTAGATCCCCTCTTGCTTCTTGAGAAGGATCTGCGTGGGCTACCATGTGCAGGTGCAGCATACCGTCTTTGCGCAGAGGTGGATCGAGTAGCGGTGTACATCTTCTCCTGGTTGCGACGCCGGCGCCAAGTTGTAATCGCATTGACGCAGACAGTCCGCAAATACGCGTAGTTCCGGACAGACACGTCCCTGTCCCACAACTGCATAATATCGAGCTCGAGACAGCGGAACTCACGTACCTGCTCATAGAAGAGTGCGCAGAGAACAGGATCCTCGGGACGATCGACTGAGATACCAGCGAGAACATGATCCCACCGATTGGAGAAGGCTTCTAGCCTCTCCTGCTCGGATCCATGAGTAAACCGATCAATCGTGGTCTTCATCAGATCGACGAGCTTGAAGGTCGAATCGCCAGTGACATGTGGTCGAAGGAAATCATACAACAACCACAAGATCTGCCTACTGCCGAGTCGCCGATTTATCGTATGCATGCGCTCGGTTTCGGTCT